TTAGTCCTTCACGGTTAATTCTCGGGAGCACATCAGGGTGGCTCGTGACAACATTTCGTAGTACTACTTTTTAGTTGTACCTATCGCCCAAAGGATCCGCTATGCGTTGATGTGTGCGAAATCGAAGCAGCTTGTGTAGCACCTGATCGCCCTACCACTTCATCTCCCCCTGGCATGTTTTCTTTAAGTTGCATAACTATCCTTACAACCTCGTTGTATTCGTTTTACAGTTCAGAGAGAAAGAAACTGCAACAAACCAGTCTACACTACCTTTTGGTTGATCCTTTGTTGAATTCCAGCTCAGAAGATGCCTATGGAACCTGGGGCTTCAAGAGTTTTGTCCAAAGGAAGCATGGCTATCTCGAAAACAACTTATACTTTGTTCGTTTGAGTCCTTGAAGGGCACTGGTAATTCATCGCCCATGGTATATTCAAGTCGATAGTAACGGAATCGTAACTAAATGGAGCAAAATGACTGATAGGTAGAGCTCGCCAGTAAGGGACATGAGAAAGCGGCTGAGAATTTTCGACACTACAAGACGAACTTCAAGAGAGGCAGTACTTCTCCGCGTTTTCCGAAAGGTTTTTAAAAAATGCCAGGTCCCAGCTATTCAGGTAACAGGTGTACCCCACAGCGGTCCACGGAGCTCTCGAGTTTTTGATTAATTGAACTAGGCTAATTCGAATTTTTGCTAAATAATGCCTAAATGATCAAAGTTCTCCGCGGTTGGTAGAAGCTTCTCCTTATTGCAGAACCCTCACCTGCTTCAAACAACAGAACGTGCCCAGCCAACGAAGAATTTAAAGAGTGCGGAACAGCATGTGAACCATCATGTCGCAATCCCAATCCGGTACGTTACTATCTTTGGAGGTCAGGTACAGCATTGCTTTCGTGGTAATCGTCCCCGGTTTAGCAAGTCTGCACCGAGCAATGCGTAATTGGATGTCAATGTAGAAGTGGATTCTACCGTAATGACCAGAATGTCTGTGTGTCCAGTTGCCCTGGTAAGTGTCCATCAATACTTAGGGACAAAGAGAGAGATCACAGCATTCGATGATATGGGAATCGCCTCAAATCCGATAAAACAAGCTACTGTGGTGAAAAAAGTGTGAAAATCGTATAGCACGGACTGCACGCCGAGCACTACCTCCCGCTTGGTCATCTGAGCTCGAGTCCCCATTTCAGTAGAGTTTTCAAAACTTCGGAACTCAAAATTTCGCTAATCCGTCTTCTCTCTGTCTGTTTCAAAGTCTAAGATGTCGTAGAAAGGCAGTCAATGAGGCCTCATTTTGTAAAGCTCTGAAGCAATGAAATTCATGCAGCGACAGGGTTTATACTTCATTCGCTTATTCAAAAAAATATTCCAGTCTTAAAATCATGGCCATGGATAAATCAAACAGTTCGTAGCAGAAAAAGAGCCAGTGAAAGATTTGGATGGTGGGGAACTAGGTCCAACATCTTGAAGCGGTACATAATGTTGGAGGCTCCTATGCTTACCAGAAAATCCATCCCCTAACAGTGATAAGGTGTATGGCGTAGGGTTCAGCCTTCCAAAGGCCACCCTATTACGTCTGTACCAAAGACATTATAAATACAAAAATACAGAAATATATAAAATAAATATGAATTAAACATGAAGCCTGCTTCTACTGCAGACTCTCCAACAACCCCGAGCACGGAAAACAGAACCTGTCCAGCCAATGAAGAGTTCAAAGAGTGTGGGACGGCTTGTGAACCGTCATGCCGCAGACCTAATCCAGTACGTTCTGCAGAATGTTTTTGGCAATCTTGTTATAGGATTGCTTCCATGGAAAACATCTCTCGTTCAGGGGATCTGCACGTTACAATGCGTCGTGGGATGTCAGTGCAAATCGGGATTCTACCGTAATGATGAGAATGTTTGTGTAGCCAACTGCTCTGGTACGTGCCTCTTAGCCTCTGTTTTTAGATTTCAAAAGCCATTCCTTGTGATATAACGAATCAGCCCCAAACTCAATAGGAACTGGAGGCTGTGGTGTGAACGAGGAACGAAAACAGTGTGGAACTGCATGCGAACCCACCTGTGCACAACCTAATCCTACCGTTCGTTTGTGCACATTTCCTCCCTTCTGTTTTTTGTTTTTTTGCACTTTAAAAGCTTCCGTCTTCAGTTTTAACTTTGAGAAACTTCCACTAATCAATCGTTCAGTGCACTAGACAATGTATCCCGGATGTCTGCCAGTGCAGGCAACTCTACATTCGTGATTCGAATAACGTCTGCGTTCCCAAGGCTAGTTGCCCTACAGGTGTGTTATTAAACACGTCAGACGTGTGCGGACGGATCTTCCGTGGGAAAAAGGATAAAAGGGTAAAGACAATAGATCCCCACGCGATCGGTCNTCCCCCCCCCCCCCCCCCCCCCCCCCCCCCCGGGACTTTGAGTCAGAGTCGTAAAGTAGTCTCGAATGCGCATTTGGCTAATTCAATGGCTTGTAGTGGCCAGCCGATGCGCAAGTCACGGCTTTTATCCTCCCACGCGAGTCTGGTACCAATTAACCGACTCCGAAGCAATGGAAGGCTTGGTTACCTTGGGTGGATGTTGATCCGGGATTCGAACCGTGGGCCATGCCTGTGTTATAGTGGGCCCCCTCTCCGCAAATTCGGAGAACCAAACCTCCTAACGGGCTTTTCCTCGGGATGACTCACTGGAGTCAGTCCATGCTGTTTTTCTTCCATAAGGGGGTCCACCATAGCTGTTTCGAGCTCTACACCATGTAGCCAAGTCTCTTTGATAATTTCGACGGACCCTATTACGGATCCATTGACCCTCCACTACCGATGTGGACGCCTTGATGTTTGTGAACCCTGCTTTCCAAAAATGAGCGCACTCGTCCTTGTATTTTGCTTGAATGGCATAGGATCGCTGAGGCCATGTCCATCCGCACACGAGTGACCCCACTATACTGCGGAGGCTTTGCATGGCGACATTTTAGAACCAGTGAAACCGTGTTCCGAGTTGAACTGTCCGAGTGGAACTCGCTGTGAGCTGGGCCGAGTGATCTGCCCGTTTGTGCCGCCATGCTTTACACAGCAATCTCGATGTGTGCCTGCTGGCTCGAACCCAGCACCATCAACAGTCTCTGGAGGTCATCGAAATCATTTTCTGAGTATTGATGCTGATTGTGTGTCCTTTAAGAAGCACCTGCACTGCACGCTAACTTTCAGGCCCAACACTGCCACTATGCTCACAGATTCATTGTGTTCCAAATACTAGATGCCTGATTCCATGCCGGCCTGATAATGACACCTACCCCACACCACCATCAACAAATAGCAAAGGTTCTCGGTAGAATTTGAAGCCTCTCAGAGAAGTTCCTATTTGTACAGCACCTTCACATTCCTCTTCATGTTTTCAGTCTCAGTCTCACCCGAACTAACCTGCGCCAATGTAAGATGTCGTGACGGTTATGAGTGCCGCCAGGATACGGTCAACTGCGTGCGAGCACCTTGTCCGCAGCCAAGACCAAGATGTGTTCCAATAGGTTCGTTTTTTGTGGCTTTGCTTTTCTAAATAAACTTGCTGCCTCTCTTGATATTGCTTTTATCACCAATGAGAGAGGTTCCCTCCAATCTTTAACGGATACCCGAACCGCCAGAAATAGCCTACGACGTCTATATTTCGAAACGTGACAAAGGTCGACTCCCGGTAGTGCCTTCTATTTCGAGGAAGCCAGAGTTTTCGTAACGTCATCTTGGATTCCGTTACATCGTAACCACATACGCAGATTTGGACTCAAAAATGATCGTCAGCACAGATTTTGCTGTGAGATTAAATGTTTTGCACACTCTTGTTGCACGATTTCAGATACTCCCCAGCGCACGTGCGACAACGTTAGGTGCCCTGCAGGTACCGAATGTCAGCAAGTGCCACTCAATTGTCTCTTACCTCCGTGTCCACAACCACCACCAGAGTGTGTTAAAGTTGGTCAGTCATTACTTACTCCATCAGTGACTGTAGTGAGTGCTACCGTCCCACCGCTTTATCTATGTAGGGTATCCAACACCCACAGCAGGTAAATGCTCCCTTTGCTTGCCTCTGTTCAAGTTAACAATGGTCATTTTTCACTCCCTACAGAGGAGACAAAGAAATAAAAGATCCATTTTAAAAAAATTGTTCGGGATAAACTTCAGCGACCAGTGTCCATGCTACAGTACAGAAAAAACGCAAGAACGTATTTGTCAAAACGGTTTTTGCGTTCGCCGCTCGAACCACCCTACCAGCAGATGCCCTTCGACTAGTAGCGATTGAAATATTTAATATCTTATAATTGCCTATGTGGAGATTTTTGTGATTTCAGAGCAATACAACCCATGCGCTGCTACTACTTGTCCAGTTGGGTCAGACTGTCGCGTAAGGCAAGTGGTATGTATCCGAGCGCCTTGGTAAGTATCACCATCGGAGCACAAAGTAGTCCTTTTCCTCTTTTTGGGTTCCTTTTCTAAAACTCCTGAATGAAAAAGCTGGTAGGCAAATAAGTCAGAGTGAATCACTGATACAGAAGACGATAATTAGGTGGATAACTATGTAAGAAGTACGAGCTCAATCGTCTGTTCGAGTAGAAAGGATGAATTATGCTTCGGCTCATCCCCTCGTTCCCTTCACGTTAGATGTTTGGCTAAAGGCCGACACGCAAAAAATTATGATTCTCAATCAAAAACCATTCCGAAGGTGATGGACGCAAAGGGGAGTCATCTACACCAAACAGCCGAATATTCGAATAACAAATAATCGCCAAAGAAACAAAAACTCGTGAAGAACTCGAACTGCTGATTTAAAAAAAAACGTTAATAAACACTTTCCAGTAATCCAGTAGCAGAATGCGTACCACAAGGGCCAAGCCAGGGAAAATGTGGAGAATTCGAAAGCTTCAGGGAATGTGCAAGCCAGTGCGAACCGACCTGTTCCAATAAGAATCCGGTAAGTATCGACGTTTTCAGAGGTGAAGTCCTAAGAGGGTAGGTTTAGCCAAGTGGTTAGAGGTGATGGCATAGACATATCAAAGGTCAAAGGTTCGGTTCCTCGCGCGTAAATCGTTCTTCCTCCAGAATAGCTGTGGAACGGTGTTGGCGCCATTGTCAGAATCGTGATATCACAGAGGTGCTAAGTTATCACCAGAAGGCACCGCCTTAGCTAGGAATCGAACTCGCTGTTGTGCCTCAGAGAGCCCACCGATTCTTGCCATTTCTTAGCACTCTCAGTTATCATGATCGATCAAATAATTAATTTCATATCGATAATCTGAAACATTTACTATGAAAACTGATTTTTTCAGGTATGCATTCTGTCATGTGCCCCAGGGCGATGCCAGTGTAATATCGGCTTCTACCGTAACTCCGACGGACGTTGTGTTACAGAAGCTGATTGTGACGGTAATACGAACCCATACTAACCCACCCATATGTTTCTAACCTTCACTATCACAAATGCAACGAATAATTTCGAGAAGAGATGTATTTTGTTCGTTTCTGGTTAGCACTTTTCAAGTAACTTCTCATCACCGTAACATTTTTTTGTTTACTTATTTATCATGGAGGATTATTCACAGGACATCTTACCACCTCGTTTACGTTTATTTATTCGGGTATTAATAAATGTACAGATACTACAGTGATAAAGCATTCTTCTTGAGAAATCGCCTCAGTTTTTTCTGTGTTCGAAGTTCAGATTTGGAGATAAGCTGAGACGCCTACACTGGAGATGTGACCGAGAACGCACCGTTGTTTTATTTAAAGCATAAATATCGGCTTTGGGATGTGGGTGTGCACTTTTCAGTTGGTAAAGCATATCAGCGGTACTTGGGTAAGTTCTATAAGCTCGTGGTATCGAAAGCCAGGGTTGCACGGCATTACTGTGCTGTTATGAGTTTTGAAAATACGTTTCTTAGCATCCACAGGAGGACCCCATCTTGTTACCTGGAAAAGCTAACCTACACGAGCTTGAATTGAAGGTTTTCAGCAAAGCAAATAGCTCGCCTGAAAAAATGTTGAAAATTTTCCGGCGATTTTTTGTATGGAGCATAAATCAACTGAAATCTGAAGTTCCGAACCAATGGACACAAAAAAAAACTCGAACGGTTAGGAGACGTCAAAGTATAGATTCGTCAAGTCTCATGTAGCACGAGACAACTCTCAAAGTCTACTTCAGTACAAATAATTTACTTACCTGATCCAAAGTAGGCAACGTCGAATCGCCTGGAGTTACTTCTTCGGGCTGAAGGAGAGTTCTCCGACAGATTTTTATTACAAGCTGGTCAACCCAGCCTTGCCGTTCCTTCTCGATTCCATGAACTTTGCTGTGAACGTTTCGCCTCCGTGCAATCATTGTTTACCTCTGATGATGCGGCATTTCTGAGCTCTGCTATTGACCGATTTCTTGTACACGTCTCGATCACGTACTAGGTTGTGCTGAAAGTATTCGACACGAACTTCGCCATAGTCCAGATTTTTCCCGGGTTCTGAAAGATTTCACAGTAACTCCGAGTCAGGACACCATCCACGTGTATCCGCATAGCATATTCGGCTACCTCTTCCTTGTTGTTCATCTACATGATGGCAGAACCATCATGTAGATGAATATATATATATATATATATATATATATTCATATATATGTATATATATATATATCAGCGCGCATTTCTCCACGAGTTCAAATCCGGCCACTCCGATGCTGAAATCCACTGCAACTTTTGAAGAGCATTTGGTCTTGGAACCCCTCTGTGCACACCTCCTTTGAACGCATCCCAGCCTGGAATTAAAAGGTTGAGGATGAACCTCGATCTGGTCTACTGATTGAGATACATAAAACCTGTTGAATTATTATGCGCTCACAGGTGAGAAAAACCCTTCTGAAGCACTTCTATGGAAGGACCTAGGAATCCTGAGAGGAATCTGGACTATTGCAAACTTCTCTGCGGATACTTTCCGCACAACCTAACAGTGTATGAATGAAGTAATTGAATTTCAGGTTAATAGACAAGGGTTGTCGCTGTGATACCACAGCCGAGATGCCGCGTCCGATCTTTGTAAGTCATCTCTCTGGCCGTCAAAATTATTGAATATGGCTATTGCAAGAATTACATATTTCGCAAAATCCATCTCACAAGTTGAGTTGGAGCGACCAAAGGTAGTATCCGTGCAGCTGGTGAAACTAGGAACATCATGTTCTAGGAACAGGAACTCCTCGTAACCCTGCTAAACGCTGGATTTTTGAGGAAAAAAAGCCTTCAAAAGATCGGTCCTGAGCAAGAAGTCCTTGTAGGAATCTACCAATCTCCCTCCTGACTTCACATTCATACGAGAGTCCATAGGCCATAGTCCTCATTGTGACAGGATTTTTGCATCACAAATTTACTGCTGGAGGCCGTAGAGAGTCAGAAAGACTAGTAGGAAGGTCGATTTAGGAGCAAGAGTTCAATCCAAGACCTGAGAAACCTGAACGAGTGCCTTCTGGGTACAGTTCCTTATCTGCAATTTTACCTTTCCTCCACTCTCTCTTCTTCACTCCGGCAGTTTCCTCAGAGCCTTAGTGCTTTGCCCATGACTCCGAGCTCTTTTGATAAAGATCACAAACTGTGGCTGTCTAGCGAGAACTCACAAATCGCTGACCTCTGAATCAGGGCTTTCTCGAAGCTTTAGCTCACAATTAGATGAGTGACGATCCGTGGCTCACGCTGCAATTATCCGTTGTTTCACAAAATTCCAGCCTCCACTACAGTAAATAGGAAGTTAAGCGACAATCCTTTATAAGTCACGATACATCGAGAAAGAAGTCTTCTGAATCGTCTTTAACTTCTTCGTTTTCTCAGGTACTCCTACTTCTACTATGCGGTTTCGCTTTCAGTGCTGTAAGAGCAGGTGAGCTGACTTATGCCGTTCCAAAAATCTGTTTTCTATTAATATTAATAGTTTGTGCGAGATAGAAAATGGACGTGGTCCTCCGAAGACTTCAGAGGGTAACGAAAAAAACAGGAACAGCTTTGGAATAGAGATTTGGAAAAGCTAAGTATGGTACTAAAAATGACTCTTTACTAGTTTCTTTAGAACCGGTTCTGTACTATGTCTTTCAAAATTATTTTCTTTACCCCGTCCCTTCCCCCACCAACCTTTTTTTCCTTAGAAAGTCTTTTCCACCACGACGAATTTCCTCTCTCGCGATATCAAACACGATCGTTGGCCTTAGACAGAATCAGATAAATCTACATGTGACTGTTCCACCGCTTCTCTTTCAAGCAGGGATTCGCTTGGTGGGACCTTTCTGTGGGGGCCAGTCATAGCCATCACTCAGCCAGCTGAATATTTCCGAAAGTTGCTCAATGAAATCTTTTGTTTTCAGAAAGTCCGCAGCTTTTAATCGCAACGATAGTCTCAAACAACACGACTTGCCCAGCCAACGAAGAATTCAATGAATGTGGCTCGGCCTGTGAGCCGACATGTCGGGAGCCCAATCCAGTAAGTTACGCTGTTCATTTTATTCCTATTGAGAGGTACAGTTATTATCGTAGGACGACGTAGGTGTAGTGGGTCATTGCAAAAAAGTACACTGACATAAAATAAAATATATTTCTAAATTTAATCATGTAATGCTTCAGGGATTTTGTACTGCACAGTGCGTAGCGAAATGCCAGTGTAAGAAGGGATTTATCCGCAACGACGAAAAGGTCTGCGTAGCTACTTGCCCTGGTAAGTACCCGATAGAACTCAAACTTTTGGGAGCATATGTCTGTAACATTCTGATTTAGCTGCCAGTTTGGCGAAACAAGACAACTGTGGTGTGAATGAAGAACGAAAACGGTGTGGTAGCGCTTGCGAGCCGACCTGCGATCAACCTCATCCAGCGGTATCGTTTCTGCATTCCTAGTTGGATATCTGTTTTGGATGTTGCTCTCACGGATTCCGAACTCTTGATACTGTGG